TTTGTTTTTTTTATAAGTTTTTTTTAAGATTTATTTATTCATTTATACAAGCACGAGGTACAGTCAGAAGTGCGGAAGGGTGAGAGAATTCACCAGAGCGGGGAACAGAACAGGCAGACTGACAAAATACACTGCTGAGGGGAGCAGCGGGTGTGGCAGGAGAGGTCCGTTGCGCCTTATGGGACCCTCTCCGGGGGCCGGGGATCGAACCGGTGCTGCAGAGGCTGCGGGCAGCTTCACAGCCCAGCACTCAACCACTGCGCCACCGGGGAGGCCCTCAAAAACCAATATCTTTGAATAGGAGTTCTGGCTAGCTAATTTGTCTTAAGTGTAACTTTTAAAAAGTGAGGACTGTATGTGCGGTCACTCACTCAATTTTTTTTTTTTTTTTAAGATTTATTTATTTATTTATACAAGCACTGGGTGCAGTCAGAGCGCGGGAGGGTGAGAGAATTCACCAGAGCCAGAGTGGGGAGCAGAACAGAAAGACTGACGAAACACACTGCTGAGGGGAGCAGCAGGCGTGGCAGAAGAGGTCTGTGGGCCATGTGGGACCCTCACCGGTGGCCAGGGATCGAACCTGTGCTGTAGAGGCTGCAGGCAGCTTCACAGCCCAGTGCTCAACCGCTGCGCCACCAGGGGAGGCCCCACTCACTCAAAATCTTTTTTTTTTTTTTTTTAAAGATTTATTTATTTATACAAGCACTGGGTACAGTCAGAAACGCGGGAGGGTGAGAGAATTCACGGAGCCAGAGCGGGGAGCAGAGCAGGCAGAAGGATGAAGTACACTGCTGAGGGGAGCAGCGGGCGGCAGGAGAGGTCTGCGTGCCATGTGGGACCCTCCTCCGGTGGCCGGGGAGCAGCCGGGGATCGAACCTGCACCGCAGAGGCTTTGGGCAGCTTTGCAACCCAGCGCTCAACCGCTGGGCCACCAGGGAGGCCCTCACTCAAATTCTTAAAATTTTATCTTACTACTCTTTCTCTGAATCTTTTCTGATTGCAGGCATTTTTACATAGTTGTAAGCAAGGTGAGTAGATACTTTTTTTTTTTTTTTAAGATTTATTTATTTATGTATCCCAAGCATACCAGAACTAGGGTGTTAGCCAGAGGTGGAAGGGGCTGGTGAGAGGATTTGCCAGAGAGAGTGGGGAGCAGAACAGCCAGGTTGACTGAAATACACTGCTGAGGGGAGCAGCTGGCAGGGCAGGAGAAGTCTGTGCTGCTCCATATGGATTGCTCCCTGGCCAGGTGGAACTCCAACTCCCACTACAGTGATTGGTGATAGTTTGATAGTGCTGTCTTTAACCCTTGTGCCACCAGGGAGGCCTGTGAGTAGATACTTTTATTTATTTATGCATACAAGAACTGGGGTATAGGCCAGAGGTGCAGGGGGTGAGAGGATTCACCAGAGAAAGAGTGGGGAGCAGAACAGGCAGATCTACTGAAATGCACTGCTGAGGGGAGCAGTGGGTGAGACAGGAGAGGTCTGCTGTGCCATGTGGGTTAGGTCCCTTGCCAGGGATCCAACTCATAGCTTGATAGAGCTGAGACTTTAACAAAACCCTGTACCACCAGGGAGGCCCCCTCTACTTATTTTAATTTATACACCATAAATCTCTTCTCTTAAATGCAATGTAGCCCTTATAATTATCATTATAATGTGTTTATGGGGTTACTATAATTTAAACATTTTATTATTGAAGTTAGATTTTTAGAAAAATTTTAAATAATGCAACGCAGTAAACAGGTATAATACCATTATTCTTGCTAATTTTTCATTTATATTTTAAAGATTTTACTGGGAAGAGAATGAAACAAAGAACAATTCTTTTAGGCTTGTTGGTTTTTACATGAAAAATAATGTAATGGTGTTGGTTATGTAAACTCTAATCCACTTTGCTTTATTTTGATTATAGGTATGTTGGATTTTAACAAGACTACTGGTCCAACCTAGAGTTGGAACAAGTCTACTTCATTACTTTTGAAATCTAATTTTATTTTTCTTCCTAGGAGTAAATTTTGAAATAATCTTTCCTTTATCTCAATACAGTTCTTGTTATACTTTGTTTACTCTCTCTGTATATTTACACACGCACACAAACCCCTAAAATACATGCCTAAGACAGTTACTTATATTTCGAACTAACAAATTTTTAATTGAATTCAGTAGCTTGGAAGTTCCACAAGGACAATGAATTCCTAGTGTGTAGAACAATGATTTGTACACAGGGGTTCAATAAATATAAAAAAAGTCTTATATAATGTCCATCATTGATTGAAATAGCATTCTGAAAGTTAGGTTGTGAAATGGTGATTGTCTTTGCTTGGTAAATATGGAACTATGATAATCCTGTTCTAAAGTGCTTCAGAGGAACTTCCTACTGATGCTAATTATCTGGTGATACTGTTTGCTCAGTAGCAAAGACAGATGGTAGGTCCTTAGGTTACTGAGTTATTTCTGTTTTTATTAAACAAATGAGGCCAGTGCCATAGTTTCATCTTTTATTTTTTAAAGAAGTATTCCTTTATTGTAAGATTTTATTTATTTTGTGTAGAAGAAGTGGGGTGCAAGCGGGAGGTGAGAGGATTCACTCCTCAGAGACAGTGGGGAGCAGAACAGGCAGATCTACTGAAATACATTGCTAAGGGGAGCAGTGGGTGAAACAGGAGAGGTCTGCTGGGCCTTGTGGCTTAGCTCCCTGGCCAGGGGATCTAACTCAGGCTACCACGGTGGATCCTCTTGGTAGTAGTGCTAAAACTTAACCAGTGAGGCTCCCCATAGTTTTGTCTTAAAAATATTTTTTGCTGAGTATTGAATGAGTTTGTTCTTGATGGAAAAAAATTTAGATACATAGAAGTATATACAAACAGGAAACTCTTCTTCAGTACCTGACCACTAATTTTTGCCAATAACTTCCCAGAGGCAATACCTTTTAACAGTTCAGTTTGTTCTTGTGTGTATTTTCATTTGGAAACTTAAAATGTTGCTATTAGGCCCAAATTCTCTTTGATGGCCACTCGAAATCCTAACTTCTTCCCACTTTCTCATTGATTTAGTGTTATTCCTAGATCTTTTCCTTTCATTTCTGTTCCTATAAATGTAGCCATAGAATATACATGTCTTTTTAACATGCTGTATTGTATCTATTCTAAGACTCACTGTTGTCTTACATGTTAAGAATTAAAAACTGCTAGTTATAACTGTAAAACACCAGATTGTAAGACCTAGTTTGATCTTAAAGATGTTGAAGTGAGTATATGGGGGAGGGGATGGTATTCTTAAAATTGATGAAATACATTGTGTGCTTTGATTGTATATAGTTTCCTGCAGCTTTTTTCATTAAACAGTATTTCTTATAATGGCCTCATTTATAGTGCAGTCTGAATATACCACATTATTAAGCTGTTCTGTAATTGATGAATATTCAAATTGTTTCCGGTAACAAGAAAGCAGTATTGCAATGAATATCCCTGTATCTGCTTCCATTTATATTATGTATTTGGGTGTGCTTCTCAAGAGTGAATTAGAATTACTGGGACATAGGGCATGCACATTTATAATTTTGAAGTATATTGCCAAATTATCCTTCTATAAAGCGGTTATAATTTATACTTTCAGTGTTAGTATATGAGAGTGGGTACCTATTCTCCCATTTTGCCACTTCTTCTTGTTATCTAACTTTTGTTTGCCCTGATGGCAGAGGGGGTCTTGGTAGCAAATGGTTTTTATTTTCATTTTCTCAACTACAGAGAGTCAATATCTTGGGATTTTTTTGGGCAACTTTTTTCTTCTTTTCTGAATTTCCTATTCATGACCTTTAACGGATTCTCTCATTTCATTTTGGCAATCAGTATGTACTTGGATGAAATTTGTTCTCGGTATACACTACTTTCTGTCCTCCCTTTTTTTAATTTGGTGTAGTTATTATCATTGGAATCAACCAGTAATTAATGCTACCATTTATCAAAGAATCAGAGCTGTTTTGTACCAGCACCCACTTTTATACTCCTTTTGAATGTTGTTGGTGGTTAGGCCGGCTAGTCTTTATAGGTCAAATTGATTTCAGTCTTAATTGCCTGTTGAAAACCTGCCAGAGTCAACCATAATATGGAGGATGTTTCCTTCCTTCTATGAAGGAAAGGTCTAACAGTAACTAATATTAATAACCTGTTACTTCTGAAGTAGCAGTGGACTCCTTACTTTATTCCTGAGCAAACTGAGAGGTTAAATGGCCCCAGAACTAGGAAGTGTCTGAGCTATGATTTAAACCTAGATTGTCTGACCCAAAGCCTCTTCCGGCATGTTATGCTGCCTCTGTGGCATGGATACATTTTTAATATAGCCTTTCAAAGTCTGTGCTTTTTTATTCATGATCATATTAAAATTAATATAAATTTTTTAAAAGATTTATTTATTATGCATACAAGTACTGGGGTGCAGGCCAGAGTTATGGGGGGGGGAGGGTGAAAGGATGCACCAGAGACAGTGGGTAACAGAACAGGCAGGTTGACTGAAATAGACTGCTGAGGGGAGCAGCAGACGAGTCAGGAGAGGTCTGCTGCGCCATGTGGGTAGCTCCCTGGCCAGGGATTGAACTTGTGCTGCAGTGGCTGTGAACAGCTTCATAGGTTGTGTCTTAACCCCTTGCACACCACCAGGGAGGCCCTAAAATTATTTTTAAAATGTGATTATTACACATTGTTTTTCATAATGTGTAAAAGATGGCAGGTAGTACACATGTATATATGTGCCTGACTGCAGCTTGATTGGTTTTTCTGTAATAATTTTAATACAGATAGTTGGCTTCATTTAAAAAATAAAAAACATAAAGGATTTGTCTAGGCTTTATTAAAATTTAATATTTGGGGAAATCTCAATATGTGTATCAGTGTATCAGTCATAGGCAATTTGTGACATACAACAAAACCTCAGTATATGGTGCCGAAAATAATGTATTTTGTTAGTGCTAATTATCTTCTTTGTTTATTTTTCTAATAGAAAAAGATGGCAAAGCATTTCATCCAACTTATGAAGAAAAACTGAAGCTTGTGGCACTACATAAACAGATTCTTATGGGTCCATATAATCCAGACACTTGTCCTGAGGTTGGATTCTTTGATGTGTTGGGGAATGACAGGAGGTAACACTATTTTGATGTGTAATGAATTTAATGAGAAAAATGTTATAAAGGGTGCAAAGTGAATTGGTGAGGTTGTAAATAGCCTGGTTTATCAGCTTAGAATAAGACTGATACAAACATTTTTGCTTACAGCTTCTTGGAAAGTCTTCAGATGTTTATGTTTTTGGCTTAGAGATGTTTATGGCTAAATATTTTTTTTAAGATGTATTTATTTATGCATACAAAAACTGGGGTACAGGCCAGAGGTGTGGAGGGTTAGAGCATTCACCAGAGACAGAGTGGGGAACAGAAAAGGTGGATTTTACACTGCTGAGGGGAGCAGCAGGCGAGACAGGAGAGGTCTGCTGCGCCCTGTGAGTTCCTTTTTGGCTGGGGAACAAACTCATGCTGCAGTGGCTGCTGGTAGCTTCATAGTGCTGTGTCTTAACCCCTTGCACCACCAGGGAGGCCCCACATTATGGCTAAATATTGTGGAAGAAGTTTACTCATCTGATTATGAACATAAGACAAGTACAGCTTCATTTGATTTTTCCTAAACAATACTAAAAGCAGCCATTTAAAATAGTAATTGATACCCCTATTGGGACATATAGAGCGTTATAACAAAAATATAGACAAAATACTTTATTCAGTCAAATATTATTTTTATTTAAAGATCTATTTATTGATTGATTGATACATACAAGCACTGGGTACAGTCAGAAGAACAGGAGGGTGAGAGAATTCACCAGAGCCAGAGCAGGGAGCAGAGCAGGCAGAAGGACCAAAGTACACTGCTGAGGGGAGCAGCGGGCGGCAGGAGAGGTCTGCGTGCCATGTGGGACCCTCCTCCGGAGGCCAGGGAGCAGCCGGGGATCGAACCAGCGCTGCAGAGGCTGCGGGCAGCCTCGCAACCCAGCGCTCAACTGCTGCGCCACCGGGGAGGCCCTCAGTCAAATATTATATAAGGAAAATAAAACCTTGATACCTTTTTTGCTTGTATGGAAATTAGCCTCTTAGTTGCATTGTAGCTTACAATAAGAAGTTTGGATTGTTTGTGGCATACCTCATTTAGTAAATCAGTACATCTTTGTTGAAACTTGAAGTTTTGAGCCTTTTGCCGCATAATAGAATCATTCTTTATTTTGGTTATAATTTAAAATAGTTAATATTTACTTTTAAATTAAAACTCATTCTCATTTTTTTTAGAACAAGAGGTAATTTTTCTTGTTATTCTTTACAGGAGAGAATGGGCGGCCCTGGGAAACACATCTAAAGAGGATGCCATGGTAGAATTTGTTAAACTCCTAAATAGATGTTGCCATCTTTTTTCAACATATGTTGCATCCCACAAAATAGAGAAAGAAGAACAAGAAAAAAAAAGGTAAAGTTTGAGGCATGGAATACTTTATCCAACTGTGTAGCCCAATATATTGAGACTTTTGTTTTATGGAGTAATAGCTCTGAATTAGGTCTTACAGCCTCTCGATCCCCACTTCTTCATGGTAATTGCGCAACTTCCTGATGTGTATTATGGGAGGAGGATATTGCTTGCTGTTGCTCTAAAAGGAACATCCAGCCTTCATGGCAGCATTCTTTTGTCCTAATTACATTAAGTTATTGAGCAAGCTCCACTGTAAACTCCGTATCTCCTGGTTTGACAAACCCTTTGATGCTGCCTACCTTGAGCTTTTAGAATATTCACATTCCATATCATAGTAATCAATGTGCTACATGGGTAGGTATTCATATTGGCTCTGATTCTGACTCCCAGATGGTTTATGAATTATTTCTAGGGCTTAGCGAGGGAGCTGCTGAGCCACTCTTTGTGTTTATGGAATTCTCTGTCATGATTATGGATTCAGCTATATTCGTGATTATGAATTTAGTATAGTTAACCACTTATTTATGTAGAGGTTATATTTTCAATGATTTTGACTATCTAAAATTTCCAGGTAGCGGCCTCCTTTGTGGTACAGGGGTTAAAGTCTCAGCGCTATCAAGCTATCACCAGCCACTGCATGAGTTCAATCCCCCACCAGGGAGCTAACCAACATGATGCAGAAGACCTCTCCTGTCTTGTCCACTGCTCCCCTCAGCAGTCTATTTCAGTATATCTGCCTATTCTGCTCTCCACCCTGTCTCTGGTGAATCCTTTCAGCAGCCCCCACCTTGCACCTCTGGCCTACACCCCAGTTCTTGTATGCATAAATAAATAAAAATAAATCTTAAAAAAAATAAAGTTTCTAGGTAATGAAAGTAATGCTATAAAACCTAATGAAAGTAATGCTATAAAATCAAATTTCCTTCAGATTATATTATACTTACTTTTTAAAAAGATTATGCATACAAGAACTGGGGTACATGCCAGAGGTGCAGGGGGAGGGGGTGGTGAGAGGATTCACTAGAGACAGAATGGGGGGCAGAACAGGTAGACTGACTGAAATACACTGCTGAGGGTAGCAGTGGGTGAGACAGGAGAGGTCTGCTGCACCATGTGGGTAGCTCCCTGGTTGGGCGGGGATCAAACTCATGCTGCAGTGGTTGTGGATAGGTTCTTAGTGCTGTGCATTATCCCTCGTGCCACCAGGGAGGCAGTATACTTTTTTTTTTTTAAGATTTATTTATTTATGCATACAAGAGCTGGGGTGCAGGCCTGGTGTAGGGGTGGGTGAGAGGATCCACCAGAGAGAGAGTAGGGAATAGAACAGGCAGATTGACCGAAGTACACTGCTGAGGGGAGCGGTGGGCAAGTCAGGAGAGGTCTGCTGCGCCATGTGGGCTGCTCCCTGGCTGGCCAGGGACCAGGGATTGAACTCATGATGCAGTGGCTGCGGACAGCTTCATAGGTTGCGTCTTAAGTCCTTGCGCCACCAGGGAGGCCCAGCTCTATACTTTTATTTTTTAAAGATTTACTTTTACTTATTTATGCATACAGGAATTGGGGTGTAGGCCAGAGGTGCAGGGGGGTGAGAGGACTCACCAGAGACAGAATGGGGAGCAGAACAGGCCGATCTACTGAAATATACTGCTGAGGGGAGCAGTGGGCAAGACAAGGAGAGGTCTCCTGCGCCATGTGGGTTAGCTCCCTGGCTGGGGATCGAACTCAGGCCGCAGAGGCTGGTGATAGCTTGATAGTGCTGAGACTTAACTCCTGCACACTAGGGAGGCCCTATGTTATACTTACTTTTAAAACAGTTGGTTTTTTGGTTTCCCTCCTTACCTAGATTGGAAATTACAGATTAGAAGAGAAAATGTCCTGATTAAAAGAGAAATGGCAGAAACCTTGAGAAATAGACAAAGGAATTATAAAAGTGGCAGTCAGGGTCTATTTAACATGCAGGTAAACTTCCTAACGACAGTATTTTGACACATACAGTTTTGTGTTTGTAATTTTAACTCCTGAGTCATTAAGAGTCCAAGCACTAATATAATTCATTCCTGTTTAAGAAGATAGGAAATAGCTTAATACATTTTCAGAGATATTTATCCAAAGGAAGTATCTTTATGTCCAAAGGAAAAACTTCGAGTTTTATAAGAATGTAATGAGGTTCCTTTTTTTTTTTTTTTTTTCAAGATTTATTTATTTTTTGCATAGAAAAACTGGGGTGGGGCCTCCCCGGTGGCGCAGCGGTTGAGCGCTGGGTTGCGAAGCTGCCCGCAGCCTCTGCAGCGCCAGTTCGATCCCCGGCTGCTCCCCGGCCACCGGAGGAGAGTCCCACATGGTGCGCAGACCTCTCCTGCCGACCGCTGCTCCCCTCAGCAGTGTACTTCGTCCATCTGCCTGCTCTGCTCCCTGCTCTGGCTCTGGTGATTTCTCTCACCCTCCTGCGCTTCTGACTGTACCCAGTACTTATATAAATAAATAAATAAATCTTTAAAAAAAAAAAGTACTTCTAAAAAAAAAAAAGAAAAAAGAAAAACTGGGGTGTAGGCCAGGGGTGGGGAGGGTGAATGGGGAGCAGAATGGGTGGATTTACTGAAATACACTCCTAAGGGGAGCAACAGATGAGACAGAAGAGGTCTCCTGCACCATACGTGGGTTAATCCCTGGTGGGGGATCGAACTCAGGCCCTATGGGTGACAGCACTGAGACTTAACTTCTAGGTCACCAAGGAGGCCCTAATGATATTCCTTTAATAGAAAATTATTTATGTGCTGTAGTTCATTGCATCAGTAAGGTAGAGCTATATTGGATCAGTGAGGGAGAGCTATAGTGTCTTTGACTGTATTGCATTGCTTTTTAAGGTTTATTTTCATCAGCACATGGCAAGTTAATTAAGGAAAAGAGAACAAGGAAAGAGACACCTGCATAGACACAAGTGGGCTGTCTTAAAAGTAAAGAGCTGCCTAAATTCTTTTTTTAATGATAAATTGAATATTTAAGTTACTATTCATCTAACATATTGGAACTATATATGTATTTTTTTAAGATTTATTTATTTATGCATACAAGAGCTGGGGTACAGGTCAGAGAAGCAGGGGGTGAGATGATTCACCAGAGACAGAATGGGGAACAGAATAGGCAGATTGACCAAAGTACACTGCTGAGGGGAGCAGCGGGTGAGTCAGGAGGGGCCTGCTGCGCCATGTGGGTTGCTCCCTGGCCAGTGGGGGATCGAACTTGTGCTGCAGAGGCTGCGGATTGCCTCATAGTGTGGTGCTTAACCCCTTGCGCCACCAGGTAGGCCCCTGGAACTATATTTTTTCCTTTTAAAAATCTACTCTCTCATGAGATAAAGTCTATGTGTAATTCTTTTGAAACATTTAAGATTAGACTTCCTCTATCCTGAAGCTTAAGTTCTGACTTGCGGAACATCTTCCCTATACCAGCTGTGACATGTTAAAAGTAGGTCATGATATTGCTGTATTTTGAGCCTTGACTATGGCTCAGGTGCTGTTAACCACTTAGAGGGCTTTAAGGAAAAGTGAACAAGAAATGGTGTCTTCTTTGAGAATCCTCAGAAATTCTCTTTGAACAGTTTTCCATCTCCCTGAACTCCACACCACTCTTAGACATGTATGGCATCCATTTCTAGTTCTCACTTGGATCTGTTCTCACTTGGAAAAGGGACTATGGGAGTGGGGGCAAGAGGTGGGACTAGATTTCAAGCTGTTATTTTTTTAATTAAAAACTTTATATATTGGGCCTCCCCGGTGGCGCAGCGGTTGAGCGCCAGGTCGCGAAGCTGCCCGCAGCCTCTGCAGCGGTGGTTCGATCCCTGGCTGCTCCCGGCCACCGGAGGAGGGTCCCACATGGCACGCAGACCTCTCCTGCCGCCCGCTGCTCCCCTCAGCAGTGTACTTCGGTCCTTCTGCCTGCTCTGCTCCCTGCTCTGGCTCTGGTGAATTCTCTCACCCTCCCGCGCTTCTGACTGTACCCAGTGCTTGTATAAATAAATAAAAATAAATCTTAAAAAAAAAAAAAAACTTTATATATTAAAATTACTTTACATACGGGCCTCCCCTGGTGGCGCAGCGGTTGAGCGCTGGGTTGCGAGGCTGCCCTCATCCTCTACAGCACCACTTCGATATCCGGCCACCGGGGAGGGTCCCACAAAAAAACAAAACAAACTACACACTTGGAAATAATACTCAAATACAGGCAACATAAATTATTTTCTTCTTATGGTAATATATGTAACACAAATGAAAACCTTCCTTCCATCTCCCTTGTAATCCTATGCTTCATAGATAATAACTGACACATTTAATTTGTATCTTCCCAGACTGTTTATTAAATGTCTTTACATATTAAGCCACGTAGGTTTGTTGTTTTTTTTTTTTTTTTTTTTTTTTTTTCAATTGCTGCACGGCATTTCAGGGTGGATTACTCTTTGTTGAGTGCTGCTTCTGTCTAGCACTGTACTAAATCCTGAGGCTGTAGTTGTTGGGATACAGTCTCTGCCCTAATGTAGCCTGGACTTTAATGCTGGTAAAGCAGATGTATTGCTAAATTTATCACATAAATTTAACTGCAGTTACATCAGTAGTAAGAAGGAAAAGCTTGTGATACTGTGAGCATGGGGAATCATCAGGGTATGGGCACAGCATAATGATTTTATTTTACTTTTTTTATTAAATATACTTTTATATATATATATATTTTGCATTGTTGTTCATTTTTGTACAATGTTTGATTTCTCCTCTCAGGTGTAATCCCCATAAAATTCCCACCACCAGTGACCTGTGAACCATCACCATAGTCTCTTGTGCTCTTCCTTCCCCTGTTTTGATCTCTCTCTCTCCCCTCCCTTGCTGTATGTCTCTAATTTATATTTGCCTGCTAGTTTTGTCATTTTTTTCTCCTTTCCCTACCCCTTTTTTGGTTTCCCTGTATTCCTCCTAGAAGTGAAACCATCCAATAATTTTTCTTTTTCCTTCTGACTTATTTCACTGAGCATAATCCCTTCCAGTTCCATCCATGTTGCTGTGAATGGCTTGAGTTTTTATTTTATGAACACAGCATAGTGATTTTAGTAGTATCTTAGCTGGCAGACATTTCTGTTGCTGTGCAGCAGTTAATTATTGTTGTCATGATCTTTGTATATTGTCACCATATATGTCTCTACTAGGGGAGTATATATGTTTCAAATTTTAATAATATTACCACTTTGTTCTCCCAAAAGGTTGCATCAGTTTACATTGGGAGATAGGTCTTGTTATTTTTTTTTTAGATTTATTTTATTTATTTTTAAAGATTTATTTATGCATACAAGAACAGGGGTACAGGCCACAAGTGCGGATAAGGGGGGTGGGTGAGAGAATTCACCAGAAACAGTGGGGAGCAGAACAGGCAGATTGACTGGAATACACTCCTGAGGGGAGCAGTGGGTGACATGGGAGAGGTCTGCTGCACCATGTGGGTCACCTCCCTGTCTCTGGATCGAGCTCATATTCATGCCGCAGTGGTTGACAATACCTTGATAGTGCTGTGACTTTCCCTTTAAGGGAGGCTCCTTAAGTTATTTTTATTTTTAAAGATTTATTTATGCATACAAGAACTGGGGTGCAGGCCAGAGGTGTGTGTGTGGGGGGTGAGATTCACCAGAGACAGAGTCGGGAACAGAACAGGCAGATTGACTGAAATACACTGCTGAGGGGAGCAGCAGGCGAGTCAGAAGAAGCCTGCTGCACCATTGGGTAGGTCCCTGGCTGGGGATTGAACTCGTGCTGCAGTGGCTATGGATTGCTTCCTAAGTTGTGTCTTAACCCCTTGCACCACCAGGGAGGCCCCCCTTATTTTTTTTTTTTTTAAAGATTTATTTATTTATATAAGCACTGGGTACAGTCAGAAGTGCAGGAGGGTAAGAGAATTCACCAGAGCCAGAGCGGGGAGCAGAACAGGCAGACTGACAAAACACACTGCTGAGGGGAGCAGCGGGCGGCAGGAGCGGTCTGCTCGCCATGTGGGACCCTTGCCGGCGGCCAGGGATCGAACTGGTGCTGCAGAGGCTGCGGGCAGCTTTGCAGCCCAGTGCTCAACCGCTGCGCCACCAGGGGAGGCTCCCTCCTTATTTTTAAACAGCATTCTTTGTGTAGGGTTCATTCTCTCTGTCCTTTACCTTTTAGGAAAGAGGAGGAGGAGAGAAGACGGCGTGAAGAGGAAGAAAGAGAACGTCTACAAAAGGAGGAAGAGAGACGTAGGAGAGAAGAGGAGGAAAGACTCAGACAGGAGGAGGAAGAGAGGAGGCGAGTCGAAGAAGAAAGGCTTAGGCTGGAGCAGCAAAAGTAAGCTTGTTGTATGACTTATATTTTAAGAATGAGAAGTGGACTGCCGCAGTGTTCTTTGACTTTTTAACCTTTGTGTGTCCTAGAATAATTCTGTGATTTGTATAAATGATGGCTGACCACTTTTAGCTACTTGCCATTTGTACCAGTGATCTGTTAACTAAAGAGGGCTTAATTTAAGCATTATTTGGTTGCAGAAAGAGAATCTACTGGAAGGATTTAGGATTAACTCTCAGAACCCAGGGACTTGAACGGGAACCAAGGTGGTCATTTGCTTTGTCTCTGGGTCCACATGATCTCTTGTCTTTGTTTCTCTCAGTTTAAGTCTCCGTTTCATTCTTCCTCTTTTCTTCAAGTCATCGCTTTCTGCTTTGGCATGCGTAAGACTGTCTTTCCTTGCCTGGGTTCATACATGTTCTCGTGTATCTGACAGAAACTGGCTGGAATCCTGAGAGACCCAGTGAAAAATTTCCATGACAGATTCTAGTTTATCCACCCTGTCATATCGATTCCTAGTACAGGAATAGATATGGGAGCTGAAACCATTTCTTATTCCATAGGGACTGTGAATTGGTTCTTCAAGAGCAAGTTGTAGATACAAGGAGAAAGGAATTACCTTCTCTAAAACCGTAGGAAAGAAAAACTGGGGCTCTAGGAGTGGCGTGACATAGATTAAACTAGCAAACATGGCAATCTACTTATTTCTGAGTAGTTCCTCAGAAAAATGTCCGTATTAACCTCAAGCCAGCCTACGACTTCATTCTATTTTGGAAAGAAACTGTGAATACTACTCTTTTGAGGGGTAATGGTGGTGTCCTCAATAGACTCAGTGTCATATTCTACTCAGGAGTTTGTGAGGTTTTGCTTTGAAATTTATCTATTAATACAATAGATGGCTTTGAGGTCTTTATTAAAGTTATTCACATAATTGAGTTAAGTATGTGGTTCTTTTATAAAAGAAAATAGAAGTATTGTAGAACAGAAATTAATAGCGCTAAACTAGATACTACTTTTAGTGTTCTCTTTCAGGCAAACTTTAAATTAAAGGTTAAAGACAGTCAAATTTTCATTGCCTTATTTATAGTTCCCAGGCACTTATAACATTTTTTAGCTATTATTCTGCCTCTTACTGCTTCTCATCTTAGGTAGAGAAGCCATGGCCAACAGTTAGATATTTCATCTCCACCGTAGATGTTCTCCATGCTTTTAGAGCCTTATGGATAAAGAGTATAGGCTGGAGCCCAACTACCTAGATTTGATGCCTGGCTCTGGCATCTTTGAGCAGTGTGATCTCCAGCAAGTTACTGAATGCCTCTACTTCCTCCTTTGTACAACCCTACCTCAAACAGTGGTTGTGAGAACTGAGTGGGTTAGTTCATATAGATGCTTTGAACACTGAGTGGCACAGAGTAAGGTTGCAGTAAGTGGTGGAGATTAGGATGATGACATGCTTACTATTCTCCCTTTCCTACCCATATTCTCCTTGAAAAACCCAATTAAAAGATTAAAGGTCAAGTTAAGTTTCTTAACTCTTTCTTCTGGGCCTGGACCACATGCTAATGGATATACATTACTAGCCTTTTTTTAAGTTATAGATTATAAAAGTAAATAAAAAGGACATTTTATTTTGTCATGAACCATCTCCTGTAGTCAGACTAGTATATATTTTTTGATGTTTTTAGGCAGCAGATAATGGCAGCTTTAAACTCGCAGACTGCCGTGCAGTTCCAGCAGTATGCGGCCCAGCAGTACCCAGGGAACTACGAACAGCAGCAAATTCTCATCCGCCAGTTGCAGGAGCAGCACTATCAGCAGTATATGCAGCAGTTGTATCAAGTCCAGCTTGCACAGCAACAGGTATGATAGACAACCCCAGAATTCAGCCTTAGAGAGTTTATTCAGTGTCATTGGAATCCACGTTTTTATTTTAACAGTTGCTAAATAATTTTGCATTAGTTTGCTTTTAGGTATAAAGCAACTTAGGTGACCTTTATTAAGGGAGACTTCATTCTGGCAATTACGTAAGAAACTATACAATATATGATACTAAAGCAGCAAATGATATGGTCACTGTTACTTTGTCATAAGGGCATTTGGGATTTATATGGACTATCATTCCAGTGAATCTGACATTGACTCTAATAGTGCTATTGGAATCATGAGGACTTGGGGGTAACTAGCATTAGTCAAAGGACATTCTTTATGAAGTGCACTGGCATAGGCCCAGAAGCTTCCAGTGGAAGAACCCTGTTCCCTTAGGTCATCAGCTGGTTCTGCAGAGCCAGGTTGGCTGTGTTTTAATGTTTGTGTAGGTACCATAGCTAATCGCTGCTCATTTATAACTCCCCAATTATTTTGCTTCCATGTGAGAATAACGTTTAGGGAAAAGAGCATGGGAGTGAGAGGTTGAATAATAGTTGGGATTCTTTTCTGGCTTTGCTTCATCTTGTTTGATCCCAGACAAGTTACCTGCTCCTGTGGTTTTTCTGCTTTTCCTCTCAGTTAATAATATAAAATCCTGTTACTTTTTCTGTTAAGCTTACAGAACTATCAGGAAAATGAAAAAATAATTATTTCTCTGTTGATGTACTCTGTACATATGGACAATAACTGTTTGCACATAAATTTTTTACCTCTTTTTTTTTAAAGATTTATTTTTTTATGCATACAAGAACTGGGGTACAGGCCAGAGGTGCAGAGGGTGAGAGGATTCACCAGAGACAGCGTGGGGAACACAGCAGGCAGATTGACTGAAATACACTGCTGAGGGGAGCAGAGGGTGAGACAGGAGAGAGTCTGCTGTGCCATGTGGGTCACGTCCTTGGCTGGGGATGGAACTCATGCTTCAGAGGCTGCGAATAGCTTTGCAGTGCTGTGCTTAACTTAACCCCTTACTCCACCAGGGAGCCCCAATTTTTTTTTTTAGCCTCTTGCAGCCACTTTAAAATGCTACCTTAAAGTTAATCTAGATAAGTTGTGCTTAATGATTTTTACTTATAAAGTATACCATTTGTCAAATCTTAGTGAAGTAGAGTGTTACATTATAGTTACTCAACATTTCTTGTTAAAGGAAGTAATCTGTTGTCTTGCCAAGTTCTTTAAATTTCTTGAAAAATTAATCCATAGCAAAAAAACCTTTTCCCCTGAACCTTTTGGATTAGTGAGAAGTTAAAAAGCACTGCTTTTACATAATATTCCATGACTGGAAGACAAAGGTATTAAACCTAAGTTTATGCAAGATCATCAGTATTTTTAAGGGGTTTTATTTATGTCCTCTAATGCCTGTTTCTACATTAGCTTATCACCCCCTTTTCTTTTATGAGCACTGAGGTATTTTTTAATAAAACAGCTCATACATACTGTCTCATTTATAGGGTGCTATCACTTATGAGAATAAGGTATGCTAGAGCAAAACCAACAATTTTGAAAACAGAACTAATATCCATAATTTAGATTACAGGGATCAAACTTGATTTATCAAATTGATTGGTTATCTCTGGGAGGAGAAAGGAAAGGGACTGAGAAGGAAAAAAGGAAACTTCAGCCCCATATATATATATATATATATATATATATATGTTTATATAAATATACACACACACTGAGCAAAATGACAAACTGTAAACACACTAATTTGGAGGCACAGTTACATGGGTGTTTATTACATTGTTTCTATGTTTTCAAAATTTCTCAGATATAGAAGAGCAATAATATAAATAAATAATCTATTATATATAGTAGATGTATATTCATGGGTAGTGGGATTTTTAAGAAGAAAGTTGTTCATTCTGTTTGAGTTTTTCAAGAAAGGCTTACTGGTGGTGGGATGGGCAGAGGGGGTCTATTTGAGCTGGACCATCAACAGAAATGCTTTTTTTGCTCTTGTAGTAAATCTTCTCAGTATGCTGATTTGTCTTGGTTGTATGCACTTCTCTGGAAACTGGTACTCTTTCTATGAAACCTGAAAATTACTTAGAATCTAGGTCTTGGAAGAAGGTATTTTAAATTCATTAAGTATATTACTAGCTCTGCTGTAGCAGCAGAGGTGTTGCTTTTTAAGTAATTGGTTTGTAAATATATTAAGTAAATGGGTATACAGTTATGCCAAAATCTTATTATCCCTAAACCACGAGATTATAGAGGCTTATTTTCCTATATAGTTTTAACTATTAAAAATATATTCTCACTTATGGCTTTAGTGTTTTAATTTAAGAAGTTACTTAAATGGCTAAATGGTCATAAACAGTAGAATGGATAAATTTTATATTTTCACCCATAAAAAAATCCTACGGCAATGTAAACAAACAAAATGCAATTACTTATGACATGATGAATGTTCCTCACAAAAAATAATGTTTAGTGAAAGAAATCAGATACAAAAAAGAACATTTATTATATAATTCCCGTTATCTAAAGTTCAAAAACAGGGCCTCCCTGGTGGCACAGGGGTTAAAGTCTCAGCACCATCAAGCTATCACCAGCCACTGCAGCCTGAGTTCGATCCTGAGGCAGGGAGTTAACCCACATGGCATAGCAGATCTCTCTTGTCTCACCCACTACTCCCTCAGCAGTGTATTTCAGTAGACTGCCTGTTCTGCTCCCCCACTCTATTCTGGTGAATCCTCTCATCCCCGGTCTACACCCCAGTACTTGTATGCATAAATAAACAAATCTTTAAAAAAAAAAAGTTCAAAAACAGGCAAAGCAAATCTATAGTCTTATAAATCAAAATAGTTGTTACCCTTGGGGCTAGAGGACACTGTGTGGAAGAGGGTACCAAGGAGGATTCTGGAATGCAATACCCTTGGTCTTGGTGTTGATCAAATGGGTACTTTTGATTTATGAAAACTGATTAAACTGTACTCTTAATGTGTAGTATATTTTTCTTTGTGTATGATTCTGTGTGTATGTTATGGTTCAATTTAAAGTTCTCTTAAAGTTGCTTAAATAATACTTATGTATTTTTAGTAGTAGTAATACCTGGTTATAGAAGGGGAATGTTCCAAAATAGTTGTCTTGTGTGTTTAAATGTTTTTACTCTCTGTTTTAACTCAAAATATTTTGATTCCATATTTATGAATATACATATTTTAATCATAATTATGTACACAGTAACAAGTTTTCATTGAGTAGTTGACTTCAAATTTCATATGCATACTTAATTCTTAGGTCAATATTTTTTACAACTTGGTTAATAATTTTCCATTTAACGGTATCAAAGTTTTTCTCTATAATTCACAGTGAAGTGTTAATTATTTTTGTTCATATTGTATACTTGATTTGTTGGTTACTTTGAAAGGCCCATATCACATTTTACCAATTACAGCTTTTCCCTTTGTGAATATTTTTCTGTGACCATTTACTTCTACCAAATTTAAATTTTCCTGATTAAAATTTTATGTATCTGTGCTTCCCTGGTGGCACAAGGGGTTAAGACGCAACCTGTGAAACTAACCACAGCTACTGAAGCATGAGTTTGATCCCTGGCCAGGGAGTGACCCACATGGCACAGAAGACCTCTCCTGACTCCCGCTGCTCCCCTCAGCAGTGTATTTCATTCAGTCTGCCTGTTCTGTTCCCCACTCTTGTCTCTGGTGACTCCTCTCACCCTCCCCACACACCTCTGGCCTGTACCCCAGTTCTTGTATGCATAAACAAATCTTTAAATAAATAAATAAAATTTTATGTATCTGAATTTTATCAGAATTTTCTGTCAGTTTTACGAATAAATGTTTCTGTGTTCAGTTTTTGTCCTAACTATAAGTTTTATTTTAGGCCACTTATTTCTACCTACTTAATTAAGTTCCTTAATTGATCACAAAAATGTGATTCTCCATTATAGTTTTTTGTCCATGTTTGTCATTTTTATCTTTCGGTTTGATGTTGTACTACTAATATTCATTATTAGATAGGATAAATGTGATAAAATTTACTAGTAATTTCTTGGAGTCCAGTGCTTTGGTAGGGCAAAAATATAGGTTCAAGAGACAGTCCATAGTAAATGTGCCATTTAACCTTTCTCATCAGTGTTTCTTCACTTTTTCTCAACTTGTAGGCAGCACTACAGAAACAACAAGAAGTAGCAGTAACTGGGCCATCTTTGTCTACATCATCAAAAGTGAATGCAGCTGTACCAAGTGATATGATGTCAGTTAATGGACAGGCCAAAACCCACACTGACAACTCTGAAAAAGAACTTGAGCCAGAAACTGCAGAAGAAGTCCTAGAGAATGGACCAAAAGGTACAGTTTGGCACGTGTGTTCATCCAAATGTCAATTCAAACTTGACAAAAGCAAAAGTCAAAAAGTCAGGTTAACAAGCTTTTGAGAGCAACTACATAGTTGTGAGAGTTGAACACTTGTGTTCATTATTTTTCTTTAGTCTGAAGCTGGTGCTTCTGGTGACCTTACGGTTATGTAAAGGAACAAATCAGGTGTTTCAGATACTTTGGATTGACTTGTTATACATATTGTTTATTGCTGTGTAGCAAACTGTGCCCAAAATAACAAAAGTTGATTATCTCACATAATACTTTTGGGTCAGGAATTCAGGATAAGTTCCAGCTGAGTAGTGGGTCTGGTCACTCATAAAGTTGTAGTCAGAATGTTGAGTCGGGCTATAGTCATGTGAAGACTGAGAGGCCAAGATCTGCTTCCAAGATGGTTCCCTCATAAGGCTGGCAAGTTGTGCTGACTCTTGGCAGGGGGTGTCTCAATTCCTTGACCTTGAAGCTTCTCCATAGGGCTGCCTCAGTGTCCTCAAGATACGCCTCAATATGTACAGTGGCTGGCTTCCTCCAGACCACGTAATTCAAAAGAGAACAAGGTTGAAAATGGCAGTGCCCTATGTACCCCAACTTTGAAAGTAATACATGAACACCCTTAATATTTTCTTTTGATCACACATGCTAACCCTAATGCTCTGTGTATGATGACCTCACAAGTGCATGAATACCCAAAGGTGAAGATCATGTGATCAGGGACCATCTTGGAGATTGACTTCCATGTATTATAATTAAAAAAAAAAAAAAAAGTACCATGTTACTATAAAGAAAATAGAGTTTTTCAAATCTCTACTAGCTTTTCATGGGCAGTTCATTCATTCAGCAGTTAGAGATTTTTGTGTGCTAGGGTATATAATGTTCAGGCAAATTAACACACATAAAACATAAATTGGAGCCGAGGTTAAGTACTGTGATGGTGACACAGTACATTAGTGAGAGCATGTAATATGGGGGATTTGACCTACTCAGAGAGGTTACCAGAGGCTTTCATGGGGAAGGGACAATTGAACTGAGGGCTCTAAAGCAAGAGTAGAGGTTAACTAAGTAGGATGGATGAGAAGAGCATGTCATTGATGGTCATCAGGGATGGTGGTATGGTTCATAAGAAAGTTGATTTCATAGATCTTCTGTGTCTTTTTAAAACATGTAGCAAAATGCTTTCAGAAAGACATTGGAATCTACCGATGGTTTGGTTTGGTTTATCTGCCACCCCCCTTTTTTTCTTCTCCTAGTAAAAGTTTACTGGTGTGTTCAAATTCCAGAGACCTAATCTGGAAAACCTATTGATAGTCCCAGTGCACGTAGGTACTGTTCAGTATGCAGGACCTCACCCTTTTTACTCAGTCCCTAGTGGTTCTACTCCTTCCTGAGTTTTCTGTTTGAGTTCCTTTAGAATAGCACCTTAAAGCTTTGGTATACTCAAAGGTAAGGATTGTTGTTATTAACACTGTTTTTGTTTTTATGAAAGTTCTTTATTAAAGTAGCAGAAATTTAACATAAGAAGTTAAATTGTGAGGTTCAGTTGGGGAAACTGATAAACTAAAACATTGGCATACCCCTACTGAGAAACGGTTTTGTCCAAGTTTATTCAGTAATACTTTTTTTTTTTTTTTAAAGATTTATTTATTTATGTAAACAAGAACTGGGATACAGGCCAGAGGTGTGGGGGGAGGTGAGAGAATTCACCAGAGACAGAATGGGGAACAGAACAGGCAAATTAACTGAAATACACTGCTGAGGGGAGCAGCGGGCGAACCAGGAGAGGTCTGCTGTGCCATGTGGGTATCTCCCTGGCCGGGGATCGAACTGGTGCTGCAGTGGCTGCGGATAGCTTCATAGGTTGCGTCTTTTATAATCACCTCTGAGCATCTGATGCGATTCAAAAGGAACAGAGTAAAGACTTCAAGAACACCCAGTAACAAAAAGCAGTCAGAAACTCACTGACAAGTTTAGTTACCTGTCTCTTTGACTCTGATGACCCTCCTCGATTGGAGCTTATGAGAGAATTCTATATAATTCTCAAGCAAAGTTCTAAGAGCAAAACACTTCTTCCTTCCTGCCTGCCTTCTTCGTTCTACTTTCTCCTTCTCCTTTCTTTTTCTTTTTCTTGAATAGTGTGGAGACTGTTTCAACTGAGAGACTGAAGTCAGGGCCCAGCTTTCTTTGTCTACATCCAAAAGTGAATTTACTCCTAAATCCAGATTTCTCTCTCTTTTTAAAATGTTTTCTAGCTCCAGTTAGAAAATTCCCAAGGTCATTCTTAAATCCTGTATGTAGAGTGTTGGAAAAAAATCACTTGTAAGATTATAGATTGCATTTGTTAATTGAAGTTTTTTGATGACCTCTGAACACACCTGACATTGTTAAATGTAGTAATTTGTGGAGAGACTTGCCCGAAAGGCTTTTATATTACTGAGTTGTCGATCAAAGGTAGATCATCTAAGGCAACCCTTACTGCAATTCCATATTGCACTGGGTGCCTAAATGTAGCTGGGACACTGGTCCTCTGCAAATATTGCTGCCTGCAGGTGAAGGCTCATCTTCTCTAGCTTTTGTAATTCCTGTTGCCTTTAGAATCTCTTCCAGTAATAGCAGCTCCATCCATGTGGACACGACCCCAGATCAAAGACTTTAAAGAGAAGATTCGTCAGGATGCAGATTCCGTGATTACAGTAGGCCGTGGAGAAGTCGTCACTGTTCGAGTACCCACCCATGAAGAAGGATCTTACCTCTTTTGGGAATTTGCTACAGACAATTATGACATTGGGTTTGGGGTATATTTTGAATGGACAGATTCTCCAAACACTGCTGTCAGCGTGCATGTCAGTGAGTCCAGCGATGATGACGAGGAAGAGGAAGGTAGATCCATTTGTCTATATTCAGTAGCTATTGGGTTGTATGTTGGCAGAAATGGCAGTGGTTCAGGTGTCAGCCAACCTTATGCTTCCTGATGAACACTTCAGGGACAGGGCTGGGCTGAAAAGGTTATGAAAGAGGCCATTTCTTAGCAGGGGATTAGGGCCCTGTTATGAATTTCTTTGAAAGCTGAAGAAGGTCTGTTTGACAATTTGTTATTTTATTGCTTTCTGAATACTATTTACTTCCAGCCTCATGTGTTGAAAAGCTAGATGTGTGAGGTTATTTTGAAAAATTTTATAGAAGCTTGTAAGAAATTCTGCCAGCTTTAAGTTTATATTTTGATCATTGCTTTTTCAGTTGTTATTCAAAGATTTTATAATGTAAATGCAGAAACTCACCAGAACATCCTGCCTTAAAAAAAATTTCAATTTTCCTTCCCTTTCAAAATTCCTACTTTACTAAAGTGAAATTTTTTGTTTTCTTTGACTAACTTGACAAAATTGGGTGTTTCCAAGGACAGTCTGAACTATCTTGGATTAGGCAATAGGTTATAAAATGAATTATTTATTGAAAAAGTTGGTCTCCTTAATTTTGTTACCCAGAAAAGTTAGAACTCAGAATATTTACGCAGACCTAGTGGTAAATTCTTATATGTTTGTCGACTTGATTGTGATATATAGAAGGAGTGCCATGATTGTAAGGATGACAAAGCACTTTCTCAGTTTTTGTTTTTTTTTTTAAGATTTATTTACTTATGCATACAAAAACTGGGGTACAGTCCAGAGGTGCAGGGAGTGAGAGGACTCACCAGAGACAGAGTGGGGAACAGAACAGGCAGATTAACTGAAATACACTACTGAGGGAGCAGTAGGTGAGACAGGAGAGGTGTCCTGCGCCATGTGGGTTGCTCTCTGGCTAGGGATTGAACTCATGCTGCCGTGGCTGCTGATAGCTTCATAGTGCTGAGACTTAACCCCTTGCGCCACCAGGGAGGCCCCACTTTCTCAGTTCTTGAAATTAACCAAGTTTTCAGGTGATTGGTAACAGACTACTAGTTCTTAAAGTAGGTTAGTAATATTATTTCACAAGATTATATTGGGATAATTTTAAAGAAGTAGTGAATTGAGGTACAAGGAGGAAAATGAATGAAAAGTTCGACCAGCTTTTGAGATGTGCAGTTCTGTCATAACCCTGCACCATACCACACACTGGGCCTTCTGTGTCATATATGGAAACACACAGGCCTATGTCACTTAGGAGCTGCTTAGTCTTACATGGCATTTTGTTTTCCACTCTTAATTTCTGAGTATTAGCAGAAAGGGTAAAACATTGCCCACAGATACTACTGACTGAACCAGAAAGAAAATATACAAGCATGAAAGATCACAGAAGAGGTGAGAGACCTGAGCAGATTGTAGAGCAGGTACCACTACCATTGTCGTAGTTGTCCCTCAGCAACATCAGGACAGGGGTTAAGCTCTGCTTTGGTCTTTTAGATGTATCACAAAGACTAATTAAAAATCAGATGTTTTGCAAACATCCGAAAAGGAAAGTTTTCTCTCTGTTTGCAAATTATTGTCTTAGAGCTTTGTTAACAATATGGAAGAGGGCCTCCCTGCTGGCGCAGCGGTTGAGTGCTGGGTTGCGAAGCTGCCCGCAGCCTCTGCAGCGCCGGTTCCATCCCCGGCTGCTCCCCGACCACCAGAGGAGGGTCCCACATGGCGCGCAGACCTCTCCTGCCGCCCGCTGCTCCCCTCAGCAGTGTACTTCGGTCCTTCTGCCTGCTCTGCTCCCCGCTCTGGCTCTGGTGAATTCTCTCACCCTCCCGTGCTTCTGACTGTACCCAGTGCATGTATAAACAAAAACAAACAAACAAACAAATAAATAAATAAACATGCCTCTATTAAAAAAAAAAAAATATATGGAAGAATGCTCTGTTCCAAAGTATGTTGAAGTAATATAGTTCTGCTGGCTTGCCTGTTGGAGATCTTCTAAAAAGAGGTTACTTCCTCGACTGATCGTTGTTTTGGAGTTTTTGATGTTGGGAAGAACACTAGTGGAAAGGACCATACCTAGAGCCTGTGCAGAGGAAAGAACCTTGACATCCTTGCCCTTTGCTCTGATATGATATTCCTCAAATGAAAATGGCACTACCAGTCCTTGTGTCTTTCCTGACAATAAAATGATTTGCAACTAAAAGCAATCCATTAAAACCTCTGTATTAACAGCAACAACAGTAAAGATTTATTGCACCCAGAAATTATTTACCTAGTGTGAGCATCACTTTCTCTTGTTTGAAGATTTTGCTTATAAACTGCATTTGTCCATGTGCTGTTTGCTTCCTAATGGAGGCTGCTGTTCAGCATGTCTTGCCCATATTGTGCATCTTAGGAGGTATCCTGTTAGCTCAGTTTAGCAGGAGGAAAGAGCCTAGTTTTCATGTTTCTTGCTTTGTTTTTCATCATTAAGTCTTGAAAGATACAGGAGTTTGTTTTCTCTGATGAAAAGTGATAGTAAGCAGTCCTCCTGCTGTGTATGTATCTGCTTTCTTTATTAGTCACAGGTCCCAAATCTTAAATTGATGAAAGATGCATTGTTCATCTATTCCAATAACCTTTAGTTATTGAACAGAATTTGGGCCTTGAATCTGTTTCATGGATAGTTTTGTTTGTTTTTTTTTTTTAATTTTTTTTTCAAAGATTTATTTATTTTATTTTATACAAGCACTGGGTACAGTCAGAATTGTGGGAGGGTGAGAGAATTCACCAGAGCCAGAGCAGGGAGCAGAGCAGGCTGAAGGACCGAGGTACACTGCTGAGGGGAGCAGCGGGCAGCAGGAGAGGCCTGCGCGCCATGTGGGACCCTCCTCTGGTGGCTGGGGAGCAGCCAAGGATCGAACCGGCACTGCAGAGGCTGCGGGTAGCTTCGCAACCCAGCGCTTAACTGCTGCACCACTGGGGAGGCCCTGTTTCGTGGATAGTCTTATAGGCAATAGCATCCATTTTGAATGATGCTGTATTTTTCATTTTCAACTGAATGACATTTAGTTTTAAGTATTGCTGTGATAGGGCCTCCCCTGGTGGCGCAGCGGTTGAGTGCTGGGCTGGGAGGCTGCCTGCAGCCCCTGCAGTGCCGGTTCGTTCCCCGGCCGCCAGCAAGGGTCCCACACAAAAAAAAAAGTATTGCTGTGATAGAGAAGTCCAATTAGGGCCTATTTAAAAGTGTCGTTTTTTCTTAAATAAACTTTTAATTCTAGAATTGTTTTAGATTTACAGGAAAGTTGCAAAGATGGTACCCAGTTTCCCCAATTGTGAATCATTATTGATACATTATTATAAAATTCCATATTCACATTTCCTTAGTTTGTACCTGATATTCCAGGATTCCATCCACGATGCCCCATTACAGTTATATCCACTTAACCTTTTCTCCACTGAGTGGCCATTGACAATCATCACTTTAACTCATATTGTCAAAATTCACTCTGCCATATTATAAACCTCAAAGTTTTATGGTTTATGCTATTACCTTGACCTAAACAGAGGACTTTAAAGCTGAGCAACTGCTCAGCTCTGTCTTCCTGCCTTGAAAGAAGCCACAGAGTCTGTTTAATATGTTAAACTGAGACTTTTAAGCTGGTTCAGAGTGTCTTGTTCCTTCAGATTACTGGAGGTATTTTTTTTTTCTGACCTCTTATTATAGTTCAAAAAACTATTAAATGGGGCAAATGTAGAATCAGTTCATTTTTTGCCCTTGGGATTATTCCTGGATTATATAACCACCACCAGATATTCACAGCTGGGCTCCCAGGGCCCATACAACTCTTGGTACATAACAGTTGCTCAGGTGAATGAACGAACAAACTAACAAACAAGCCAGTACATGCTTGCATGCATACAAGTTGTAAAGTTGTAGAGAAGTTCTAACAATTTCTCAAAGAGAGGGTAGAGTTTAAATACTTGATGCAAATGTGATTTTTCTCAGATCTTTTCATTAACTTGTCTCTGTTCTTTCTCACAGAAAACATCAGTGAAGATAAAGCCAAAAAGAATGCCAACAAACCTCTGCTGGATGAGATTGTGCCTGTGTACCGACGGGACTGTCATGAGGAAGTGTATGCTGGCAGCCACCAGTATCCAGGGAGAGGAGTGTATCTCCTTAAGTTTGATAACTCCTACTCTTTGTGGAGGTCAAAATCAGTCTACTACAGAGTCTATTACACTAGATAAAGATGTTACAGAGTCTGGAGTCTAGGGTTAGGCAGAAGATAGCATTTAATTTGGAAATATCTTTTGACTTTTATGGAGCATTGCAGTCCATGTTTACCAGTTGATTTTGGTCTGATGGTTTGTGAACTCTTGTTGGGAGTCAGGATTTCCGTGAGACTCTTTAGCATTAATACTTTGGGGTTAAAGGGATTCCTCAGATTCACCCAATCTTTGGGTGCTGACCAGTGGAGTTATTAGTGGATGCTGAAGTTATATGAGCTTTGTTAAATTTTTAAAGTCTCCAAAATAAAACATCCCAACCTTGGCCCCACTTGGCTGATGGTTAGTCCATTGCTGCCTGTTTTGTGTGTTTTATGAGAACCCATAGTTACAGTGCCCTCTAATTTGAAATATTTATGTTAACAGTCTACATGAGGTTCAGCTGACTTTGATTGAAGGTCACCATTTTAAAAAATTTAAAGACCTCACAGATTATAATAAAGAAATTACCTTGTTTTGATCTTGTTCTGAATGACCCAGATTGGTTTTGCTTTGGGTGCAGCTGTTCAGTTCAGAGTTACATTACAGGGAACTATTTTCTGAGATAACCTTAAGATAGAATGTTCAAGTCTAATTGATAATTGAACTATAAAGATAAAAGAACACTTCGGATATCCATCTTAGTAAGCCAAACATCCACAAACTCTGAATCCTTTTCATCTGGTATTCATTCTACCAGTAGTAAGACAAATTTAATTCATCTTTGTCTTGATTTGGCCTTATAGAGCATCTCAAAACATTTTTATGCAAGCATCTAGTGTGTGAATTTGTAAAATCAAATTGGCACCTACTGAATTAAACTGAATAAAATCATTTAAATATAATTCTTTGTATGAGGAACAACATTGCACCAATATGGAAATCACTGCCAGAGATAGTTCATTTTCTTTTAATTTGTTACTTCTTAGGTACAAATCCTACATGATTTCAGCTTGGAATTACTAGTAAGAATTGGAAATGCATATGCCCATGCTTAAATTTTTATAGCTTTAATCTGTATTATGTCTTTATTAATGCAAAGAGGTGCATCTTTGTTTTCCTTACTGAAAACAAATATGGATTAATTGCCTCAAGTTTGTGTAAGTGATTGATTAGTCTAGAGATTTTTGTTTTCAGATGGGAGGGTATTATAGATAGAAAATGACAAAGATGGCAATATACATGTAATATTGTTATTATACATGTTGTTACTGAAATGCTTAGATTTTTAAAATTTCAAATCATAAATCACTTCTTGTAGGGGGATTTCAAACCATTGTTTAGCTGCAGTATATACAGTTCACTACATACAGCTATTTCGTTTTTATGTACTACATTTTCTGTTTTTTAATACCTGGTTTTGTACATATCTAACTGTTCTCTTTGGTTGTTCTGAAACTGGATTATTTTCTCCCAGGTATAGCAGAATTTGTGTTTTTAAATTTAATTCAATAGTCCCAGCTCATAGATGTCCATACTGTTAACTTCCAGAACATCTGTCAGCCTGTTCATTAGCTCTCATGTATATATGATAGAGAAACCACGGGGTTAGGCACTTCTAGCTTTTTTTTTTTATGAGAAAATACTGTATTTAAAATGTAAAATAAACTTTTAAAAAGCAGGCACTAATATATATTTCTTCCAGCCTTTGATTACAGATTTGTCCTTGCATATGTTAAGATGAATTATCTTCTAAAAATATCATTGTTCTTGGGAGCAGTATATGTTACTTTACATAGCAGCGGTTCCTGTCATGTGTTCATGTCAGAATATTTTTGGTTTTAAACTTTTTTATTGCCTTTGGCTGTTGATTAGTACAGTACAAGTGCGATTTCAAACAGATCTTGAAAATAATATATTTACTCAATTAAAATGTTTATCTGTAATCTGTTGATGTTTCATTAATATAGTCACTCTGAAGTATTCTATATTTCATCATTTGGGTAGGACAAAAAGAAATGTCTTAAATGATCTTTTTTAAAAATTATTTCTGGCTGATTATTTAGTTTTGCTGTGAATCACCCTAGTGAGTTAAAATTTTTCAGACCTCTTTATGGAAAGGACAGCACTGGGGCCTCCCTGGTGGCCCAAGGGGTTAAGCACTGCACTATGAAGCAGTCCGCAGCCTCTGCAGCACAAGTTCGATCCCTGGCCAGGGAGCTGCCCACATGGCGAAGCAGACCTCCCCTGTCTAACCAGCTGCTCCCCTCAGCAATGTATTTCAGTAGATCTGCCTGTTCTGTTCCCCACTCTGTCTCTGGTGAGTCCTCTCACCGCCCACCCCCACCCACGCACATCTCTAGCCTGTACACCAGCTCTAGTATGCATAAATAAATAAATCTTTTTAAAAAAAAAAAGAACGAAAGGACAGCACTGACTTTTCTTATTGAAAGTGACCTATAACATTATTTCCCCTATTCAACCATGTGTGCACCATGTTCCTTGAACCCAGGAGCATAACCTACTTTAAAATAGTTCCTAATGTCTGGCACCTTTGAAGCAGCAACGATGGGAGTGCCTGGGTTAGTGTGATGTGGAGTGTCAGAAACCATTCTAAAAATTACCACACTGAAATGCAGTCATTTGGACATTAATTTTTTTCCTTTTAAAATTTGGAATGTGATTGTCATCTTGATTTTTCTGCTGTGTCAGGGTACCAGGACACCAGACCAGAGAATAGTTAAGGATAGCTATTGATCTGTGAACACATCTTTGAAACACACTGCTTTGTCTTAACTGAATGTCTTACAGAAGAGAAGAAGCAACCAGGATAATAAATGATTGCTAGTAATTCCTTGGGACTTAGGTGCAAAAGTCTAGCCATAGTCATCTGTGTGTCTGTTTCCAGCTTTTTCTCTTTTCAGTAGTTCCCTCATCAATCTGAAAATGTGTGCATGTGTAGCTGTGGGGCAGACCAAGTCTTCATTTCCATTACCAAATTTTCAAAATTGTGTGAATCAGTATTAGATCTTCATTTCACATGTATTTGCCTAGGATTCTTTAACTTTCTAATTACAAAATTTTTAAGACAAAGTTGATTATTGTTCTTTTCAGTACCTTTGTTTTGAATTTATTGTCATTTCGGGTGCTTATTGTTTTGCAATGAAAGATGGAAGCACTAGCTCCAATTTTATTAGTTAATATGCCACTTTTAAGTTGTGATTTGATTAAGATAATTCAATACTAGGAGACTGACTTTTCCAGAATTGACATTGACATTTGGACTTAGGTTGTCAGACTTAGGCTAAAGTAAAAATTGGAGCAGTTAATTCATCTCTTGTAGCTGTAATGAAAGCTATGTGTGATTGCTCAGTTCATTCCTACTGTGAACTGGAGACTTGTGGTCTTATTTCTGGAAAAAAAGCAAGTACAAATTCAGTTACAGATGCTAATTTTCTTAATCTTTCTGAAATGACATACCTATACAATTACAGCAGTTACTACCCTTTTCCAAGCTCATCAATTCAAATATCTCCAGTTGAAGGTAACAGAACTTCAGCTGGAGGAGGAACGGGGCTTAACAAGTGTAATATGCATGTTTTTCATAAGGTCTACATTTTGCAGCTTTTAAAATCCCAGGTTGTGTTTTGGAGAACTTTTCTTGTTAGTATGGGTCTGCTGTGTTCTTTTTGATCTGCTATGGATTCTTCCATAAAATGGTTTTTGACCTTTTTTTGTTATTGAACATCTTAGGTTTCTTCTCATTCTTTATTGTAAGAGATGTTCCAATAAACTCCCTCTTATATGGCCTTTTTTTTAAAGTTTTTTTTATGCATATAAGAACTGGGGTGTAAGCCAGAGATGCAGGGGGTGAGAGGATTCACCAGAAAGAATGGGGAGTAGAATAGGCAGATCTACCGAAATACACTGCTAAGGGGAGCAGCGGGTGAGGCAGGAGAGGTCTGCTGCTCCATATGGGTTGCTCCCTGGCCACCGAACTCATGCTGCAGTGGCTGGCAATACCTTGATAGCATTGTCTTTAACCCCTGTGTCACCAGGCCCTCCTTTTATATGTCTTTCTGTAAACCTGCATCTTTTTTTTTTTTACAATTAAATAGCAAGAAGTAGAATTGCTGGATCATAGACCCTGCCACGTTATTTTCCAGAGTGGCTAAACTAATTTCCCTTCCTACCAGTAGTGTATAAAAACACTGCTTTTTCCCTATCAACATAGGGTATTATTAGACTTAAATTCTGGCTATTCTGATAGGCAAAACTGAAGTTTTATTTTATGCATCTCCCTGATAACTAATAAGATTAAGCATTTTTTTTTTTAAAGATTTACCTATTTATTTATACAAGAACCAGGGTACAGACCAGATGTGCGGGAGGGTGAGAGGATTCACCAGAGACAGACCGGGAAACAGAACAGGCAGACTGACGAAATACACGGCTGACTGGAGCAGCGGGCGTGACAGGAGAGGTCTGCTTCACCATGTGGGACCCTCGCCGGCCAGCCGGGATCGAACCGGCGCTGCAGAGGCTGCGGACAGCTTCACAGTGCGGCGCTCAACCACCTGTGCCACCGGGGAGGCCCTAAGCATCTATTTTTATTGGTCATTTGTATTTCCTATAAATTGCTTATTTGTATCCTTTACCCATTTTCAACTGGGTGAGTTTTTTAAAAATATTAATTTATTAGCATTTAAAAACACGGTTTATGTACTGACTACATAAGTAGTTTCTCCCACTTTATTGCTTGTTAATTTTGCTTGATGGTGTTTTATGTGTGTCTGTGTGTGTTTGGTCATGGGTGTTACAAACTATGTTGGTTTTATCCAATTTTATCCTTTATGACTTTTGCTTATTTCCATATATATATTTTTTAGATTTATTTATGCATACAAGAGCTGGGGTACAGGCCAGAGTTGTGGGGAGTAAGAGGATTCACCAGAGACAGAGCGGGGAACAGAACAGGCAGAAGTGTGCTGAGGGTAGTAGCAGGCGAGTCAGGAGAGGTCTGCTGCGCCATGTGGGTTGCTCCCTGACTGTCCGGGGAATCAAACTCGTGCTGCAGAGGCTGTGGACAGCTTCATAGGTTGCGTCTTAACCTACTGCGCCACCAAGGAAGCCCTTATTTCCATATATATGTCTGTTTCTGAACTCTGTTCCATTTATCTGTCCGACCATTTGTGACTAATATTGCACCTTAAATTACTATAGTTTTGAAATGTATTTTGATACAAGGCAAATCCCTGTTCTTTTGTTATGCTTTTGTGGCTGTTTTGCACCTTTACTCTGTATGAATTTTTTCATTAGGTTATTGTACTTCATGAAAAATCTTGATGAAATTTACATTGAAATACTGCATTGAATTTATATTTAATTGGTGGGGATTTGGCCTGTAATTTTTAACATGAACTTGAATTGCTTTTTAAAAGATTGGTAGTTCTTGGTTCTTAAATAGTTATCTTCAGTCAAAGTGCTAACCATTAAGTGGTCTCTCCTGCCATAATTAGAATACTGGCTAATCAGGGGCAAAAAAAGACTAAAAAATAAGGTAATTTGCTCTCAGGTATAGACCAAAGAAGGCATATGGTTAAAAACCCAAATTGCCTTAATTTTGTTGCTCCCCCATCCACAGGAATGGTATTATTTTTGTTTGCATGGTTAAAGATAGGCTTGCCAGGATCACATTACAGGTTTAACAAGGGTAGGTGGGTGGAGAAAAGGTAGAGTGCCAGCTGTATAGGAATAACCCTATTTCTCTTTATTTTCAACCAACAAATACTTAGTTACATGGTCCTCTCCTAGCTGCAGTGTCTCCAGGTAGGCACACATGTGCCAGTCAAAACTCAGAAAAGTGTTGGTAAAGAAATGGTTTGTAGTAGACAGTGGACTGTGTTTATCAAGTGAGTTTTAAAAATACATAACTTTGTTGATTTTTAAGGCCATACACAGTGTAGAAAATTTAACAGTACACATAGGAGAAAAGACTAAAACTGAATGTATCAATCTACCACTAAGAGATAATTATTTGGGAACTTCCATTCTGGGCTTTTCTCTTAACAGTCAATTATGATACCATCCTAGCGCACAGAATAGTCCAGAGTATAATGAGCACCCATGTACCCACCACCACAGTCACATTTGCGGTTTGCCTTATTAGTGCTTCATATTGGTCTAAATAATAAAATACTAGTGAAAGATTTTGAGCCCCATGTATCATTTCCCAATTAACATTCTTTTTTCTTCCTCCCCAAAATAACCATTATCCTGATTTTGATGTTTTATGGTTCCACTTGGTTGTATAACAATTCCACAGGTTGCCAGAGAAAGGCAATAGGACATTTCCTTAGAATGTTTTGAATTTTACATAAAATGATATCATTTGGCTCTTTGTTTTTCCTGATGTGCATGGTTTTTGGTGATTAGTTTCGTAGAACCTTCAGTGACACATCACGCAGAGACTCTTGACTACCGTGTAGTCATTCCCCTGCTGTTGGACATAGAGTTTATCTCAGATTTCCAATATTACATTCTTGTATGTGTCTGCTTATGCTCTTGTGCAAGGGTTTCACTGATGTATATTTCAAGTAATAGAACTGCTAAGTCATAAACTATGTAGATCTTCAACTATACTACATAATGCAATATTGCTCCTCAAATGATCATGCCAATTCAGACTTGCCAAAACAACATACAAGTGTTCCTGTGTTCTACATCTTTACTGGTAGTTGTCAGATTTTATAATTTTATCGATTCTATAGGCATAAAACAATCTCATCTGGTTTAATTTGCATTTCCTTAAGAGCCAGTGAGGACAAGCATCTTTTCATCTTACTGAATTGCGTATTTATATCCCATAATTTGTTGGACTTTTTCATGACTTGTAAAAGTACTTTATTTTTTTTTTTAAGATTTATTTATTTATATAAGCACTGGG